TCTCCGGTTATTGATCGAATCAAGGTCCGTGCCTTCAATACGAAAAAGAAAGGCAAGAGGCGGCGGTTACTTTGGCGTTCCGAAGAGCGACGCGCTATTAAAATATAGCCTGCTGCGGCGAGAACACGTAGAGAAGGGGATAACCTAAAGCAAACACAATAACCAGATCTTCTTAAGTAGGTCAAAAGTGTGTGGTGTACTTTCTCATTCGTTAAATAGACTCAACAAAAAAAAAAAAAACGAAAAAAAAAAACGCGAGTGGTGCAACTACTTTTTTGTCGGAGCTGCACGTATAGACAAAACCTTTGATAAGCTATACCTCGTTTCAGTTTGACGCACCGCAGGCGGACCTTCCTACGAGCCATTTCGACCAGTCCAGCGCTGTCGACGTAGCACGTGTGACTAGGCAACCCCTTCGTGACCGCGCCTCTCCCGAACGTCACGTGACAGATACACGGCACGGGATTGGCTCCGATGGCTCGTAGCGTCCTTTGCGGCCTATCGTGAGGGGAAATGGAGCCGAGCTCGCCGCTCGTGCTCGAGTCACGAAACGAGAAACTTGAGGCTTTTTTATATTATTATTTTTTTTTTATCGAGATTCCGATAACGGCGTGCCATGGAGGCGTGTAGTATAAGTGTGCCGCGTTGAATAGGTGCTCACACACGCAAAATGAGCCGAGGTGTGAAGTGTTTTTTTTTTTTTTTTTTACCGTCTCATTACCGAGTGTCCTAGCACGCCTTTTCCGTGTTCATCCCTGTAGCGCGATTTAAAAACAAAAGAAGTAAGTTATTAACTTTTTTTTTGCGCGAAGTTATAAGATGAGTTGGCAGATATGATTTAAGGGTACATACAAAACCTCAGTGATGATCGGGTTTCTTTGTTTCGTTTGTGAGGACACTTATCTTTGAGATACATCGGGAAGGGTAAGGAAGATCAGGGTATATTTTGCGAAGCTTGGAAGTTCTAGCGTGACAACGCTGTTCGCGCATTTCCTGCCACGATTTTCTATTTCTGTTACGTGAGTAAGCGGTGTACACGGCTACGGATCACGAGGTCGAAACAAGATTATAGGCAACAGAGAAAAAAACCGAACGCACACACAAAAAAAGCTATGATTGATGAAGGGGGTGATTGCATCGGAAGAGCATGATAATAAGCGGTCATAACGCGGCGAGGTTGATTTTGTAGACCCTGCTTTTGTTTCACTTTTCTGTTAGACAGTGTAGGCTTAAAGAAACGATAGCATTAACCTGTATAGGTTATGGCTATAGTAAGTGGCGCCTTCTAAACCACTTTCTGCGACAGTTCATTTATGGCCATAACTCGTAAGTCAATCTACGGGTTCCAAGCACCCTAAAAAAAAAAGAAAAGCTAACATTACATTCGTGCGCCGCTGATTTCTCTTATTAAAATCAGTATCAAAGGATCGATTACTTCGGAACTATCGCTGACACCAGACGGCGCCGTTGCACGAGGAATTGCAGGGCTCTGCTCTTCCTCGTACGATTTTAATAGGTACCGATTTTAACACCGATTGTAATAGAGAAATCTACCACGCACAAATGTAATGTTTTTTTTTTGTTGTTTTTTTAAAGAATTTATAGATTGAGTAATGACAATAGACATATCGCAGTAAGTGGATTATTTTCACGCTTCTTGCTTTCTGATTCGCTGTTCGGGGTTTTTTTTTTCTTATTATTATTTGTTGACGCTGCAATTGTAGTGGCTATCTGGTGATAATAAGCTGATCGGGACACGCCACGCCCCACGTTTCTTAAGTTGTCAGCGAGCAAAGTTTCAAAGCTACAAAAAGAGACGGCATTCTTAGCTAAAGCTATTAATGTCGGCAGCAATATGCGATTCAACGCCCTTATTTTTTATTATTAGTTCTCCTATCGTGGTAGATCACATGCTTGCGTCAGTTATGTCACAACCTCGAAGCAGACCTTTTTTTGTGTTTTTTAATTGATTTGAATGAAGTTAAAGCAACAATTTAGGCAAAGGACACGGAAAGCATAGGCCTGCCGACCGTCGGAACTTTCATAATTGCTAGAACTTGAGGCCGGTGAGAGCAGAGAATGGAGACTGCACTAAAAGATGCCAAACACTAAAATGTTGCAAAGGACGACAGGGCCACAGACGGATGACTGAACACACGCGAAACAAAACACGGAAGCTCGAAAAAACTAAAGTGACAAGAGGCGCAAAAGTGATTAGATGACTTTTCTCGACAATGAATTTGCAGTGGCCCACATTGCCGTACTCAGCAGCGGCATGCCGCTGCACGATGCTTGATTGAGGATTACGCTAAAGCTATCAGCAGGTTAATGATGAAGACGTCCATTATCGTAAAAGTATAAAGACTTCTTGTTATATTGTTCTGAATTCAGATTGAACAATGAGTAGAAAGTCCTAAACGCGTCTTAAGTCCGCTCTCGTGTCTTGGCTGCCTGTCGTCCCCCTTCCACCTTTCCTTCCGTCCTCGGTAGGGATGTCGCGAACCACCCCAGGTTCGATTTCGAAAGGTTTCGATATTTGCGAAGCGAACTGAGGTTCGATTTCGAAAAATTTCGATATTTTCGTACCGACCGAGGTTCGATTTCGAAAAATTCGCAACTTTTGTCCACAGCGGAGTTTCGAATTCGAAAAATTCGAAGCTTTCACGGTTTCTAAAATTTCGAATTCGAATATTTCGATTTTTTTTTTACTTCAGGTTCGATAAATTCGAAGATTTCGAAATTCTTTGTAAAAAAGATTCGAAAACTTCGAACGCTTCGAATTTTTATAGACATGAAGTTCGAACAATTCGAAGATTTCGAATTTCTTTTTCCATAAAGTTCGAAAAGTTCGAAGGTTTCGATTCTCTTTTACCGCTAAATTAAAAAAAAAAAAAAATTCGAAGATTTTGAATTACTTTTTAATCCAAGTTTTCAAAGTTCGAAGTCCGATTTTCAAGTTTTTCCACAGTTTCAGTTTCAAATAACGTTTTCCCGACTCACTGGTTTTCACAAAATCAAGTTTAGAAAAGTTAGGGTGTGATATCTAGATTCTGCGAAGTTGGTCAGGCAATTAAATGAGACGACGAGTGTCCCGGATGTGCTAGAATATTTGCCAGTGCAGAATTGTGACCGCCAGCCCCGTGGGGGGGGGGGGGGGGGGGGGGGGGGGTTTAACCTGCATTAAGCAGTAGTGATTGCACGAACACACTGTTTTACGAGACTCTTCCAGTTCGAAACGGCCAGGGGCGAGCAGGAGGTTGAGGCTCAGAAAAACCGTGAAGCGACCTGGCAAACTAGCTCGCCACCCCTTACACGCTGGTAGTAATCCGATCCGGTGAAGTTTATAATTGTCTTGGAGGTTTATTTTCTGGGACGGAGGAATCGCCTCGCAAAAAGCACAAAAGCCGACACAACTCGAGGTCGAGGAGCGTTCTACCATACAAGTGGCGTCGGAAGAGGAAAAACGGGGGGAAAGAGGGTAGCGGGTGGGGGGGGGGGGGGGGGGGGGGAGTGGAGTGGAGGGAGGGAGGGGCTTCAGCCTCCTTCTTCCCCTTGCAGGTATTTCGGACTGTTAAAGAAAACAATACGGGGAAAGAGGGCATGGTCGAGCTTATTTTAATCTGAAATTATTTATGCATATGTATAGCTAATGTCGCTCTTCACTGCATAAAAGGTTGCGTAGATGGTCATTGTTAGAAACTCGTTGTCAGAAGGCACTGCTCGTCACATGCTTAGTGGCTCGGAAGTTCAAAGCTGTCTTTTCGACCTAAACACCTGTGCCGATAGTAACAAAAGAAAAAAAAAAAATGAATAAATGCGGGAATAAAAAGCAGGAGAAAAAAAAAACGATCAAGAATTCGTCGGAAGTGTTCTATTCTTGCATATTCAGAGGTTCAGAACTTCGAAACAAGTTTCTTTTACCAAAGTGTGTACAGGCTAAAAGAAACACGTCCCAAAAACGTGAAGCGAAAAAAAAAAAAGTTTTCTTTTAATGACGTGCTGAACTTGAACACTACTAGAAATCTTCTCCCTTGAGTTAATTTATTCCTTAACGTGAAAAAACAATAAATATATTATTTTGTATTCTGCAGATGGCAATGATATGTACTGTCTGTGGTGTTAATTTAAATGCGATACCTCAAACAACTTAGACGAAAATAAATATCAAGTTTAGGTCATAATTGCATGCAGATACATGTTTGGACATTTCTTCGAAACTCACGTTGAATAACAATAATCACATCTTAAAACGGCACTTACCTAGGCTATACATATATCATTCTTAAGGAAGTATAACTTATCTACCATGAATAGCTCCGGCTGCAGCGTGCTTCAAATCTGGCACAAACGATAATCGTCAAAAACCCGTCGTCCTTCGTCGCCCCTTCGGGGATTTATTTTTTTAAACCTAAGCATGCCAGAACATTGAAATAAACGACATTGTCTTTCGTAAGGAACGCAGCACCGCGTGTAAAAGTTCGAGAAAAAAAAATTACGAATGTACCCCACTACTTGAAATCAAATGAAACCGTCCGCCGGTCTTTCGAAGTTCGACGAACGTCGAACTTTTACCCTAAAAGTTCGAAGTTCGTCGAACTTCTGACTTTTAAGAGTTCGAAAGTTCGAAACTTTTCGAATTCTCTTGATAAATAAGTTCGAAAGTTCGAAATTCATCGAATTTTTTGGTCAGTCAAGTTCGAAAGTTCGACAAGCATCGAACCCTGCAGCGCAATAAATTCGAAAGTTCGAAAAAGGTCGAATTTTTTAGCGTAATAAGTTCGACGGTTCGAAAAGCGTCGAACTTCTTAGCTTAACAAGGTCGAAAATTCGACCTCCGTCGAATTTTACGATATAGACAATTCGAAAAATCGAAATCTTTCGAACCTTTCGAACCGCTTGATTCGATCATCGAAACTTCGATTCGAAAAAAGTTCGCGGCATCCCTAGTCCTCGGCGCTGACGATGTCGGCCCCTAACGGAGTGGCTTCCGCTTCTCGCAGAACGGATCCGGTACACGACGGAATACACGTGCGAGGGCCGGGAACTGAGCATCTCCTGCCCGGACAACTACCAGATCCACCTGGTGCGGGCAAACTACGGCCGCCTGAGCATCGGCATCTGCAACGACTATGGCCGCCTGGACTGGAGCGTCAACTGCATGTCCTACAAGTCGTTCCTCATCATGCAGGACAGGTACGCCAAGACCTCGACTTTGTTTTGTGGCGAAGCGTCTGGGAAAGTTAAGAGTGATGGATGCATGGATGGTAGTGTCTGATCCATTTGTATTGGGCTGCAGCTTGCGCCACCTACAGCTTAGAAAGCTTCTGAAATTTTTTAGGCGAACTTTTCGACTTTGGTTTCGATGGCCACCGACAGCTTTAAGAAACTTCAGTCGTGGCCGCGTTCAAGTTTTTCGCTTCTCGATTTGTTCTTTGACGCCTTTATCGGCTAATACTGCTAACCTCATCGCCTGCGGAATGATAATAATATGATTGGTACTTGCCGCGCTCAGTGTTTCTTGACTCTAATGTCTGTTCTAAACAGCTGCCTCAAACACTTATCCTATCAGCTCTCTTTTTTTGTCTTCGAACTCTTATTTTGTTTTTCTTGCTGTGCAGTTAAAATTTGCATTTGAATAAAACTTGCGAAAATAAAATTGGCATACCGACACCTGGTGTGAAAAATAAGGAACAACGCATAGCCTGCTCGAATACTTACAAAATAACAGCAAATGATGTCGTTTTCTGATATGATCACGCTTATTCTTTTTACCCGCATACAACTAACTTTAGGGGAAATTAAAATGTAAGAAGAAAAATACGCATCGGTGAGACTCCCGGTAAAACGAAAAAGAACGACGAAACGTACCCGCAACGAAAATGTAAACAAAGTGCTTCATGAAAGGGGAAACAAAATGTGGAGAAAACGTTATTATTTTTGTTAATTCTCGTAACACATTCGTTATTCGTAAAGGAGAAGAGTTCATGTAGTGATCGCATTCCCCTGATAGCAAACTTTTCACATTTTGCAGGTGCGCACACAAGTCCAGTTGTGGTACGCACGTCTCCAGCACCTTATTTGGAGATCCCTGTCCAGGCACGCTCAAGTACCTGGAAATGCAGTACCACTGCGTCCTCGGTAAGCTCACGCATAAATGGATACGCGCGACTGAACCCTTCAAATCGGGCGGCCGCTTACGCCATCTGCCAGTCTTTGTATTAACGACAGTTATCCTCCTCCTAGTATACAAAACAGTATAAGTTTTTTAATAGTAGTGCTGCTAAAATCTTCTATCCGTGCAATAAAAGCACCCTCAAACTCAGTGCCATTTGGGGGCGAATGAGAAAACAAGTTGCAGCTTCAATAAGTTCGAGTTGCAATTACTAAGTTCTATTTGAACTTGGAGCACTGCCTCAAGCGGAACAGTGGGCATATACATTCGGAATGAAGTTTGATGTCATTATGACGCGTTCAGTTTGATTGCGTTGAGTTCACTCCCCTGGAAGCTCGCTAAAATTGCAAAAATGTCTATCTGGAACTATCAGGAAGTCGGAAAATTTAGTTGTGTGGCTTGACGGACTAAACAGCAGTAAACTTCCCTTATAACAATCTGGCTGGATTTTGAGGTGACAGGCGGAAACTTCCCTGACATTTTCGCAAAACTTTCGGAAACGAAGAACCGGGCAGGAATATTTCTTAGTAAGTTTTCCAAATGTATACGTCACCCCTCCTCCACGTTAACAAGAGTGCCCAGATTTCAGAGTGTTTCCAAATGCTCTATCGAGGTCACGTGATTAATGGGCCGCGTGTGAACTGCGAAAAGGCGATGGAAAGGTTCATCGTCTGCGAACGTACCCACCTTTCCGGCTGCTTTCCTCCTCGCCACCTCAGAACGGCCCCGCCTGCCGAAGGTTCGCTCTCATGTCTGGTACCAACCGTGCGATGGCGCAGCATGACAGGAAAGACCCCGAATCAGAGCACGCAGCTTCGTGGCCTTTCCACCCAACGCACCAGCGACCAATTTCCGCAGGAAGCGTCCCCTATTAAATTGCAAACGCCCTGCACCAGTTTGGGGTGGAAGAACCTCTCTTCAATCTAGGCTGGCTACCGATAACCCGAGCAGACAACGCCCTCTGCAAGCTCGACTGGCGACTTCCACGTTTCTTCCCCCGCCATAACACTCGAGCATATCAGACGCGGTTAAGCCGGACCCTCCGGACTCCACTCCGACGGGAAATGTCATCGCCCGTGCCAGCCCTCCGTTCCACCTCACGACGGACCGCGGCGAACGCCGCGAGCCGTCCCCAGCCAATCCAATGCCGAGTGAGCGTCACGTGTGCCCCCTTCGGGTAGGACGCGACGATGCGCGGGACTCTGCTGGCGGAGTCACGTGGTACACTCTAAAGCCTTAGCCACACCCTGCTCATATATCGTCCAAATAGCACCCACCCCTCAGGCATGTTTTTTTTTCTTTTTTATACATATGTACGTTTTGAAAATGTCTGCGGCCAGTTTTTGCATGACCAAGGTGACGGGGCCGCCGTACAAGAAACATGCTTTGGACAGTGGCTGCAGATTGTCCTTTCTATGATGTGTCAGCAATGTGACCTCGGCTTCACAAATCCTGATGTTTTCACTTTCCCGCAAAGCACCGTAGACCCCGCAACGCTCCATCGTAAGGTGGAGTATGGTCTCTTCTCTCCAATCTCTGGAGCCGGTCCCTTCGTCCGTGCGCGACAGCTGAAAGCAGACTCGTCTTCGACCCACGAGACAGATTCACCCCCTCCCCTATCCCAGCTCTCCAGCGAGCGACATTACAGTCACAGCAGTCCCCCGCGTCCCCCTCGCTGTGAAATGACCGATGAGATTAATCGAAGCCTCGCATACTCGGCCTTCCCTTCCTCTCCTTCGCCCCTCACTATAGCTTCCCGCAACCGATTCGACTTGTCCCCCGTCTCCCAACCCCAGCCGTTCGTCCGCGCCAACCGCCATTTTCTGCGGTATGGAGAGTTGGCATTCCAGGATCGTCCGTGCTATCGGGTTGTGTGCACCTCTCCCCCTCCAGCATTTCGAAACGGAAAACAAATGAGTATTTGGTCATTTCTCCTTTCCAGTGTCCCTCTTGCCACAAACCTTGTTCCACCCGTTTCCCTTTCAGCGCCATCCAGTTCCTATCTTTGGTAGAGAGAGCTAAATGTTGATTGGGCGTCCTCTTCAAAGCTTTTCGAACGCCGGTTGACATTCCGTGCGCGGCTGGTGCCATTGGAGCGGAATAAATGAGTGATCTTCCTTATCTGAGACCAAATGGGTGCAAGGGGCCTCCTCTCCTTCTTTTTATCCCTCTCTCCTCCTCTCTCTTTTTTCTCTTCTTTTTTTTTTGTTGTTTCTATTTTTGTCCCCGAACGTTTCTGTCCTACGGTCCCTCTATTTATGTTTGCCGTTGCGTGACATACGCGACGAATGATTTTTTTGCCCTTTGGCGTACTTGTCGTTAGCCCTTAGTCCTTTTTGATTGCATGCCTGTTGCTTTCTAATGTTTTAGTCATTTTTTTTTGTTGCTGTTGTTGTTGTTGTTGTGCCGACTTGATCCGATATGTGGTGCTTCGAATGCTTCTTTCTGGGTTCGATTTTCCGGCTTCGATTCTTCGAACACGGCGGACAGACGGCGGGCCTTCGTGGCCGAAAGCTGTTTGTTGGCTTTTGGGGACCAACATATTATTGGGGTAGGACTTGGGGATCGAAAGGGCATTACGACGGATCTGCGGTCGCGCCGGAAGGAAGATTTCTCCTGATTGGATGGCGTACGCGAATGTCACGCTGCGTCGGGAAAGAAAGAAGAAGAAAAAGAAAAATATATCGATTGTTTAAGGATTGACTGGCGAAAACAAAAGTTTGCCCGCACATCAGACAAGCAACAACAGTTCGTGCTTGTACAGGTAGTGTGTCGAATAGCAATCTGAGGATGCTTATTTGAGCAAGAAATTTAAATTGCAGACCATTATTTCGCATGGAAATTTCGCTGTTTGTCATCCCGTTCTTGGTAGAGCTTATGGGGGATTTTCCTGGTGGATTTGGAGTGACATTAGAGCGCTTTTGTCTCCGGATTTTCTTGCGCGTGCATGCGCCCTCTATCCTTTATCGCTCTAAACGCGAGAGCATGGAGCGTTTTTGGATCGCATCGAATCCACCAAGGAAATTTTCCATAAGTCTTGAAACTTTGAATCCTATGGAGTGCCCTTTTTAAACGTCGGTTTGCTCGAGATTTACTACCCATTTCGAAATGCTCGTTTCAAACGTCTGCCACAATTATTTTCGTATTTGAACATCCTAATATAGCCTATTGTCCCCACCTTCAACATAAACAACAACAGGAGATGCCACGTCACGTGATTTAACATAAACGAACGATAATAGAGTGGCTGACAATTCTCTGGATTTCGGAGTTGCTTACGTTAGGCGTATGTTTGCGTCTGTAAACGGAACATGCACCGTTAAAAACATACAGAGCCCCTCTGCTAAAGCGTTTGTAGCGCTTTAGCAGAGGGGCTCTGCACTTGAGGGGAAAGGTCAGCCCTTATTTAGCTGTCACCTAAAGTCATTTGCTGTGCCTTATCGTACTCTGTCGTAGCATTGCAAAAGCGTTTCATCTGTATGACACTCCGTTCCCTCTCTCATTGATAATGGCGCAACCTAAAGTCTATACCGTAAAATTACATAACAAGAAAATCATATTTTTCAGACGTTGCGGTTGAGGTCTTGATTGCAGTATTTACTTGTCCCGCGTTTTATACGGATGGAGGATTAGGAAGAATAATAAAGTCATGTTCTAGAATCAGACTCACCTGATTATTCGATGTTTATACCCTTTTAAAAAAGTATTCGGCCTCCTTTATAAAAATATAAGTAAAATAGCCTTAGGTACATTGGCTCGTACCTAGGCCGTAAATTTTCCGGTTTTAACCGAAAAACACCGAGAAACATCTTTCGGTGACAAAAATACAAAATCGGCTGAAACCGAAAAAACATCGAATCGAAAACATCCAATACCGGAAAACTCCGATTTCTGAAAATGTTCGCTCCAGCTAGGACTGTTTTTATCCAAACGCTCCCATCCTAGACATGAACTCAATTAAGCCGCCGTCACACTCCATCGTACATCTGAAGACACTAGGGAGTTTTAGGCAATCTAAGGACACTAGGGAGTTTTAGGCAATCTAAGGACACTAGGGAGTTTTAGGCAATCTAAAGACACTAGGGAGTTTTAGGGAACCGTTTTTGCACATCCGATATGGTACGGTACGTCCTCCGGTACGAACTGCGCGTGTGCGAGTCTTCTGCGGTAGCGCATGCGCAGTCCGTACCGGAGATCCCATCGCACCGTATCGGATGTGCAAGAAAAATTCCCTAAAACTCTCCACTATCTTAAGCGTGTTTCTTCGTTAAATGGCGGTCTTGTGGTGTTGGTCATACAAAAACTGTCTGCATGAATGTTCTAAGAATAGAAATGATTGAATGTAGCATGGTTTGAACATGGTTTAGACATGTCTGCAGGTACTTTTGTCATCATATCTAAATCGAGCATCGTGTCTTTTGACTGCGGCTTTAGTTTTTATAGTTGATTTCTTAAACGGCAATCAGCGTTCTTAGCGTCCGTCCGAAATAGCTCACCAAAATATACCGATCTTTGGGAGAAAAATACAAATAGAATACACACGGAAGGACATATCCGCCGATTTCTCTTATAGATGAACGCAGGAAAATCCAGCTACCCCAGCCCATCTACTCGAAATTCCCCTCTACACACATCTCTTTCCTCCGCACCAAAATATCCCGCTCATGTCCACGTTTCAACCGAACTGTAAAATTACCATCACGAGCACAAACGCGTTCTCGCGTGGCGCATATGCACGCACCTCGACCGTTGTATCGCACGCACGACGAGAAAGAAACCCTGCAGGAACCTGCAAGAGAGAAACCCATTTCGCTAAGAGCAAAACCGGAATGCCTGCCAGCAAAGCTCATGCATGCAGCCAACATCTTCGTCTTCAGCATACAAGCACACACGCACACACACACACACACAGGCACACGCTTCGCTTTTCGGGGATACCTTTTCCTTATGTCAGCGTTCCTCGGCGGCGGCCGCCGTCTGATAGCCTCCGGAGCTGAGGCAATAGCTCTTCCATCACAGATAGCTTTTCTTCTACGAGTATATCCGCGGAGGACGGGCCGGGGCGTTTTTGTGTGTGGGTGTATGTGTCGTGCCGCATTCAAGAAAGCCATCTTGCGGAGCGATCTTCTCCCCCTCCCACGCGTCTGACACCTCTCCCCAGTCCATGCATATATGCGACGATGGACCGCTAGCCTGGTGTGTGTATAGAAGACGATGCGTGTGCTTTAGTCATCTTACGTATGCGCGGAGGTGGCGGTGGTGTCGCCTTCTATTATTGATCGCTCTCCGGGCCTCGGGAGATGACTGCTGGGAGTCGCATCTAGTCTCCTTCTGCTTTTGAACTTTCCGCGTTCGGGGAAAGTGTTAGCTTAAAATCGAGACAAAAACACGAAAAAAAAAGAAAGCGAGTGAACCGTAGCAACCCTACAAAAGGAGATGGAGTGGCACGGGAAAGGAAGGTGCTGCGACTTGCGAATGTTGCGAATGTTGTTGCTTGGCTTGTTTATTTGTTTGTGTGTGTTTGTGTGCGTGTGTGTGTGTGTGTGTGTGTTGCGCTTATCGTACGCCAAGACGCACCGGCGGCACAACGACGAGGGTTTGGCGCCGTGAATGTGTAAAGAGCTTCCTGGGATGACGGCGATTTTGTAAAGGTGTCTCCGGCGTTTTCGGAAGTCGTTCGAACGCCGAGGAGCTTTTCTCGGGTGTCGTGCGAATATTTTGCTCTTCGTTCTCTCGCGACGTGATGGAAGAGGCTTCGAGACGAGGACGTTTTTCCGCTCGGGATGTCGCAACGGGGTCCACCGCGAATTTCCAGACGCTTCGGAAATTCGCAGTGCCCTACGATCAGTTTCACCTTAGGCTGAACCGCAGCGGATGCTAGGAGCCATCGAAGCAAACCCAAGGCTCTGTGAGTGTCACATGACTTCCGTGAGGGTCGCAGCGACGCGCTTGGTTCGCAGTCACGTGACATGTTCTCTACTCTGGATTGGCTGAAATGGTTTGTAGCGTCCGCCGTGGTCCATCGTAAGGTTATAGAGATTGTAGGATGTTGCTAAAGAAAACCCATGGTGTTGCCGGTTATACGCAGCTGCGCATTCCCTGAACAGCGATTCACCTAATTGTTTCCTGAAACTTGAGAAAACAAATTTAACTCGTAACTGTCTCTGGCGATCCCCTGCTTCTTAAATCCTCATTTGCATGATAATCTTTGCTTATCTCTTAGACTGACTGATATGTTCTCTTCCCTCTTCGTCACATGTTGCTTTTTCCGTTTTCTGCTCTCTCTCTCTCCCTTTCCCTATGCGGGGCGCAAGTTCATCTGCTTCATGCGCAGGGGTTGCACTGACGTTAAAACGCCGAGCTCTGATAGTCTCTGATGGATGGATAGTGGGTAGACCTCAAAGCAGCTAACATTGAGGTCCTCCCTCTATCCTTCCAGTCAGTCAATCGGAGCGCGGCGTTCTGACGTCACTGCAACCCCTACGCAAGAAGCAGACGAACTTGCGCTCCGTATTATCTTCTTGCTTCCTGCTTCATGACTTGCCCTTAGGCGTCCTTTGCAGCTAATGCCACAACTTTATCGGCTACACACCGATATTAAGTTGCTTGCTACTTGCCCGCCTCTGCTTTTCTTAAGCTGGCGGCTACCGTTTGTTGATTGTTTCTGTTTTCGGCCCTTTTAAAAGCCAATGCGTCAGACCATTGTATGTTCACGTATGTTATGATCATTGAGGAACCAAAATTTTAGACGTCTGAATTTTATTTACAACCGTGGGCATCTCCGCTCAGCTGTCTGGCTAAATTGTTTGAATCAGCCAAAACTAAAACGTACGTTTCTTTGTTTGTTTTGTTTTTTGTTATAGCTACGACGGCTCCCACGCCATCTGGCGGCGGGAAGGATCATCAGAGGGCGCCACTGCACGGTCCTGCAGTCGCAAACTCAACGTCGTCTCCAACGCAACTCGGAGGATCTCGGGATTGGGCCACGCCTGCCCCTGGTGCAGCAGGTGGACAGAGGTACGCTGGACAACGATTGTACAGTCTTCGTCAGTGTTAACTGCTACACTTACACTTCCTTTCGCCCGACCGAACTGAGGGCTCATCTTCTTCGCTCTGCCTTTTCATAGTGTATTGAAGGCAGGCTCATTTTAATGTTGAAGTTAGCATATATAAGAAAAAGAGAAGCTTACATACTGGGGCAAAGTATACTTTCAGAATGACATTCACAACAGGAATATGCCCTATGTCGGCTGGGTCTTTTACCTTGAGCATAGCAGTGCGTGATCGATATGTCAGCACTCCATCTTATCAGATGCGGGTGTTTTCTTTTGTTCTTTTAGCTTCTTGAATATTTGAATTTAAAGATAATGCGGTGCCGTCGGTCTCCTCCAGAAAAGCCCTCAAAATTCAGTAAATTATGATGGTGATGTTTCCTGCTAAAACGTGTAGCTGCTTTCGCGTAAGCTTCGTCTTATCTTTCACGTTATGTATGATCTTTTTCTTGACAAAACTAATCCCTGGAGAAAGGGAAACCAAGGGGACAAATGACAAACGCAAGTCTCTAGACACAGCTACTTGTTTTGTCCAGCTCGCTCGCACCTTTGCATTAATTGCATTATCATCAGCCCTTTTTCACATTGCTCATCTTTGTCATATTCCTTTACGTCCTCACAGGCCCGAACCTGAGGCGTCCATGCCAACAACGTCAAAACATCCTGGCTCGACGTCCACAACGACGACCTCCACGTCGTCTCCACCACCGTCCCAGTCGACCTCACCTACGACGTCCTTTCGGCCGGACCTGAGGACGGAGGGTGTCCCTACGTCCGACCCCGACGTGAACCAGTACCCGTCCAGGGTCTCCCGTCCGACCTGGCAGGAGCTGACGCCGCGCAGCACCATGCCACCAGGTCAGTCTTCTGCCTCAAAGCTCCCGTCACACTTCAGATACACCACACACACACGCACAGCAACCGTCTGCAGATATTGTATCATGCGTGTTCCTTTTTTTGCGTGACAGTACTGTCACACTGGTTACACATAAATAATCTGCCGACATGTACGAAGCATACAAATATATGTCGCAAATATCCTTCGAAGATGCTCGAAGCGTGCCTGCGGATAGTTCAGTCGTCATGTCTGCAACGACCTCCGTGTCTATGATATTATGTAAGAGCATGTGTGACAGCAGCTTTAGGGTATCGGCACCCGATTCCCGGTTGCCTTGTGCGTACCACCTTTTTTTTTTGCTTAGTATAGACCCTTTTGAAAAGCTCGTCAAGCAACATCGGCAGTCGCCATTGCTCGGACACGAAGCGCTTGATTGGATCCGAGCCCTCGCCGAGCGCTGACGTCACACTCGTATCCATTGGATCAAGCAATGGCGGACAGGCGTTGGAGCAGACTTTCGTAGGGGTCTATTGGCGATTGTTGCAGTTCGGGAAATACGATTTCTTGAGATGTAGATGGGGTATCAAGAAACTTAACTCTGTCGCGGAGTGCTTTAAGCATCCTACAGAGTACGGGAAAAAAACGTGTCGTCCGATTTTGGGATAAAGTCTAAAGTAATCGACAACAATGATTTTAAGCAACAAGGTTTGAACTCGCACTACTCTGAAACCTAGCTTTTTTTAGTTGCTCTACCTTCAGCAATTCCAAGGTACTCGATACGGCCACCATGTGATTGTTCTGCGAGCTTTCCTATTAATCCAGCGACGCGAAGCCGTGTGCGTTACTTCCCTATTGGTCTGTCGGTGCTTTCGGCGACGCGCCGACTGTTTGGGACGACGCGCCGCCATTCGGCATGTTTTGCGAATCCAATTATGCCCACATTCTTGGCCCACATGTTCCCTTAAAGCACACGCGAGCCTCCGCCGCTAGGTGGGAGAAGAACTCGCGCATGCGAAGTACTATTTTTTTTCCTTCGTGAGATCACAGTGTTTTGTTGTATTCGAATGCACTTATACAGTGCAATTTAACACTGAAGAATCTTTGAGTGTGTTTCAAGCCGTGCTTGCTGTTAGAGCCGCGTATTCTGAGGCGAATGAAAAAAAAAGCCTATTTTCGAAGGCAAAGGGGTAGCCGGCATCAATAAAGTTGTAGCTAATGTTTCTTTTTTCTGTGCTTCTTATTCCAGTTAATAAAGAAATGGGTTCATTTCGATTCCCACGCGCCGCCGCCTGAACCTTGACTTGGTTTCGCAGATCAGTCGCACGCCTTATACTCCGGTTCTGACACTAAACTGAAGCACAACGCAAAAGGTACGAGCCACCCCCACCAATTCGATATCGAAAGTGCACCACGTGACTTTCCGTTCTGCGCCTCGCTGCAGCCACATGCGAGGTCACGTGAGGAGCTCGCTGCTCCGAATCTGTGTTGAGGGCTCCTTCCTAGAGCGTTCGACGTGGTCCACTCTTGGGTGGAAGAGGGAGCGGAGAAATCGGGTCTATTCGTAATCAGTGGCGAGGCGCGGCCCTTGATGAGCTTTCTTTGCCCTGCATGCGCCAATTTCGTTTCTGGGCTCGCCGTACGTGCCCAATCGACGGTAGCGTTCTCGTCGTTGAGACGTAATTTGTTACCGTGCGTTCGTGCGCTACGGATTGGTCACGTGCCTTCCACCTGATTGATATACGCCATAGCAGCGCATTTGTCACTTCTTTTTTTTTCCCAATTATCTTTCCTTGTGTACACTGGATTTTGCGGTACACTTTTTGCTAAATTAATCTCAGCATCGAGCAGTGTGCAGGGACGGATATAACAAGGGGGAAAGAGCAAAGAGTTGGGGGAGGGGGGGGGGGGGGGGGGCAGGCCCCCCCTTTTTTTAAGTTTATAAGGACTACTTTTTTATAGACAGAGGGCATGCAGCGGATTAATTTAGAGAGAAATGTCTCCTTCTTGGTGATATTGCAAATATATTCGTCTATGCGTCGCAACCGCTCGTGACATAAATAGGGATGGGCGTCGATTAAAAATGATTTCACCCGATTTATCGGTTTGTTTACCTTCAAATTTAATATCTAGGAATGTGTCAAAACTGCACTTCGTTTTGTCTATTTGTGGTGTGTCATCAATGGTGAAATATACATGTTTGTGAGGTGTATATGAGGTGCCAATGAAGGCACCTCGAATTAATCTTAAAGCTATGGCGACAAAAAAAAAAAAAGAGACAAAGGCAAAGGCAAACAATTTTTAAAAGGAAATACATTTACATTCTAATTTGAACCCTACATTCACTCTGAACGACAATCGTAAAAAATGCTAAGGTGCTTTACTCTGGAATAAGAGAGTGCAGCCCACAAATATGTATAAATTTGCCCCCAAGACGTAAAGCAGGCATTATTACTTTCTCTTTAAAATTTCTAACTCAAAACCGTACACCAATAAAACGGTAAAAAAAAAAAAAAACATTTATCGCAGTTAAAGCATACATAGATTAATCGGAAGGTTAATCGATCAGTTGCCAGGCCCTAGACATTAAAGTTGTCCATGTCTTTACATCTCATTGCAGACCCCCCCCCCCCCCCCCCCTCCCCCTCCGGCCTGTATATCCTGACCTATTAAACCGCCTATGGGAGTGTGCTGCGGGCAGTAGTAAATATGCTCTTTCGTGTTAGGTAGAGCCACTAATAAAGACCGCGCATCACAGTAGCGACACTCCAGCCTTCTTCGTGCTTAAAATCATGGTTGCCAATCCTCTGAATCTTTTGTCTGAATTCGCAGCAAAGAAACACTTTTCCGTCCTCCCGAAATATTCAAACAGCCCACGAGAGAGCAAAACGATATCGTTTGAGCGTCCTGACACCGTATCTATAGTCGCATTTTCGAACTGCACCGATCGCCGGTAGACCCCCTTCAAGAATACGCCTGAGCTTTGCGTCGGCGCGAACTCGGCGCGAATTCGATCAGCGTTCGGCGTGAAGTCGGCCCGGCTCGTATTGGACACGATCGCTGCGTCAGCGTTCGGCGAGGACTCGTATCCAATCACGCGCTTCGTGTCCATGGATGGATGGCTGGATGTTTCTGGCTATACGCTTTGTAACGGGCGGTAGCTTGCGCCACCTATATCTAAGCAATGGCGACCGCAGTGGCGGCCGCCAGTGTCGCTCGATGGACTTTTGAAAAGGGTCGATTGCGTCCGCTCTCCACGAGGTGCCGAAATGGTGGCGCCCACAAGGAAATCCGGAAATGCAGGTCGCGAAACTCTTGAGCGCTTACGTGAGTTTGGTGTTAGACACACGCTACCCGTGCTGGCGTCCGCAAAAAAGCAGTTTCTAGAGCAAAAATCTCAAATGAATAGCACTTCGCACGTGCATTCGACGAAGCGTTATTTTATTAGTTGGCTTCGAATTTATTTTACAGATAAGGCGAGCGCGTGCAGTGGTGCTTCGGTAATAGTGCAAAAAGGTTACTGCAATTTACATGTACATGTCCGTTCATAAAAGTTGGTATCATCGGCACCAATTTTTTTTTCTTTTTTTTTGAAAGGGCCCGGTGTAAACATAGCGTTCTGTAGTACCGCGAAACGCCGCTAGGGCATCGAAACAAAAATGGCACCGCCCGTAGGGAAAGTCGAAGGTAAGCAATGCTAAGGAGATTCATTCCGGAACCGGTGTTGGGGGGGCAACGACCTCAGTTTATAGGGTCCATATCACATGAGCGAATGACATTTTAGCGAACGGCGACATTTGACCGAATCGACGTTTCAGCGAATAACGGGGGCGCGCGTTAACCCATCCGCCGCGCTGCGCTTTACGCCGCTTTGCCCGGCGACAGTCTGCGGCGGCTCATTACAAAAATGTGAACCCATTTGGCCCACCCGAAAACGCCGCCTCGCGGCGTCCGACTATTCGCTAAAGTGTCATTCGGTGAAACGTGGGCGTTCGCTAAAACGTCATTCGATCAAGTGAGTGCCTCCCCTCCGGCAGGTTGTCCGTTGCTGGCAGAAGTTCGTGTCTTTGGATGGCGAATAGGCATTTAGAAAAAGGCTAAATTCCTATCAGAGTTTCGTTGCTGAATCTCTATTCCTTCATGCCAACAATACAAACTTTTCGAACACCCTCGTATCTCATAACGTTTTTAATTTATAGTTATTGCAATTTTTCTTTGTTCCGAAAATTATCTTATCTGTTTATGGCCTGCAATAGTTTATTGTTGAGAACACATTTTCTTTCTACCAAACTAGATTTTATTATAAGTAATATAAGTGGTTTGTATTATTGTATCAGATCTGATGTTACCCTTCTTTGGTATGGGTATACTGGTCCAAGGTATTGATTGATTTCGCTCATGCTGATTATATTTTGCTATTCTTTAAAGAAAAGTTCGTAGGGAATTTATGTGAATGCACACGTGACGCTCCCATCGCAGCGCACGCAATATCATTTTATCAAATTAAGAAAAAAACAAAGCAATTCTAGTACAAAAACAGAAGAGCATTACGCGTGGACATCCTGAAAGAAATCAAACATTCATATTACCACCTCAACTAGGCTTTCAATGTGTCATATATATGCGTAAACTCGCTCTTCAAAAAACAAAACAAAAAACGAGAAAACAAATGCTCTGCAGCACTCAAACACGACTCACGATGACTAAAATTGACCCATATTTCCGCTTTCATTACGGAACTGCCCCCCTCAAAAGGGGTTTTCAATGAACGCCGATACCGTTGCTGCGAACGATTTTTTTTTTTTTTGCACGCTCCACGACGATTGCGTATTGATTCGCCATGTCAACCTTCGACCAAGACCCAACGAAAACCATCCGGGGAAAAAAACGTTCAATTTCCATATAAAAGAGCCCGCTAAAATTACATTTCCTTTCCATTTTTCTCGCCTACACAAACAAACGCACTCGCTTACAAAAAAGAAAAAAAAAACGAAAGAGGGCCAGTACGTCGTCCAATCATGCG